AGAGAGAGAGAGAGAGACAGAGACAGAGAGAGACAGAGAGAGGCAGAGAGAGACAGAGAGACAGAGAGACAGAGAGACAGAGACAGGGATGATTGTCTGCATTCATTATTAAAGCATGTTGACATTGCCTTAGGCTTGAGAATGATGTGAATATATCCTGTGCCAAGAGACGTGTATTGAAGCATTTGCTGTGTGATGTATGCTTAGCTGTCTTCACGCTTTGACACGCTTTGATGTAGATGTGCATGTTTGTCTGTTCTTGTACAGTGTGTCATTATACGGATGTGTATAGTCAAGTAACATGATTCATCAGGTTATAAATAATCTTATTGTAAAAGTTGTACTTATGTTAGTTTCATCATGGTTTGCTCTCTTAAAATTTCTTGGCTGAAGGAAAAAGGGCAGCGAATGAGAAATAGTTGGAGAGAGAATTCATTGTCACGAATAATTTTCAGGGTTAAATGACATCCAAACTGACCGGTTCACTTCTTTCAAAAGATTTTAATTTTGCCACAGCATTGATTTTGTATTATTCACATTTACTTGAGAAGAAACTTAATAGTGTGTTAACATCTAATACTATCGGTATCCTACGCAGTGAAAGTAAAGCAACTACTTGAAACAGAGAGAACTATAAAAATTTCCAAGGAATAGCTTTTTTTTGGGAAAAATTTGTTACATATGTCTCAGGATGCCTTAATATGTTTGATGAAAATTAATACAGTTTGACATTCATAGCAAATTGTATTTTGTGGGTCATTACAGCTACAGACAAACCTTCAGCTCAATTGAAGAAAATGTAAGATTTTCTTTGTGAGTGTGTTAGTAGTATGTCCCGCCCATCTCCAAAAAAGACAGGGCCAGGAGACTAAACCACTAAACCAACTGGGTAGAGAGCCTTGGATACAGTGATACTGCAAACAATCCAAATTCAAGAATGCCCTTTTAGGATGAGGGTTTGAAGAAGAATTAAATGGTCAGCATCACAGCTGCTGAGCTACTGACAAGCCTGATGATGTGGTGGATGATACTGTTCCTGACAGCTGGGTTAATTTGCTTGACAGAGTTGCCCTTTTTAAAGTGAGTGCTGTGTGCTTATTTTTAGAATTTTCATGTCCACAACACTACACCTCATCCTTACCACTTTTTTTTTTGAGGCCCTCACCGACTCAAAGTCTAGCTTGTTATATTATATTTATTTATTTCAAGTTTAGATTACTCCTAACCACAGGATGTGATGTTTATTTCCTTCTCCCACTGCCAGCAAGACTTTTCATATTGCATGATTATGTATCTGATTACTACATGTATCTTCTTCCATAATGCTTACATGAGGTAAGGCTTTTGCGCACAATATTTGTATTTCCTTTCAAGTGTGCGCAATGTGTTCATGTGTTTGATATCATATTCCATTGCATGATACAACTAACAGCCGCTCCGAGGTTCATATTTTTGCATATGGTAATGCATCTCTTGACTGGAAAAGTATCAAACTAGACAGAAATTAAGAGTAGATGCCTCCTGTT